TCCTTTCCCGCCAAAAAATGATAAAATTAATTTAAAATGAATTCTGAAGAGAATTTTTCTTGGTGTTTGGGCGTACGTACGTATCTTGCAGAACTCAAAGCGAGTAGCCTCAGAACGTTGAAATTTTTTATGTAGGACTGCTATAACATATAGATGTGCACCTCGTATTTTGGTTGCAATCGGCAGACACCAAAAGTATATAAATATATACTCTGTTACGCGGCTCCGTGAGCTCAGTTTCTTTATTCTTATATGTTTGTAAATTGTGCATTTTTTGCTTTAAAAATGATTGAATTATATTGTTCTTATCCTCCGGTTAAGATTTTTATGTCTTTAGGAAATCTGCATGCAATATTTGTGGAGTTGTCAACAATTTAAAAGTTGTTTAATTGCAGCTAAGCGTCATGAATTTTGCGATGGCGGACATAATTGTTTACATTTCAAACTTGGCAAAATAGCGGATTTGTTGCCAGTTTTAGTGAAACTAAGCTTCGCAACCACAAAGATAATGCCTTCTTTTATTATTGCGAATTAAATCATGCTTAATCCATTCTGGAAGTTATTCGAGGAAATAAGTGTTTCAGATTTACTTCGTAATTTTTAATATAGATATTTTGAGATTTATGTATTTTTGCCTTCTCGGGAAGTGAGAACTGAATTAATTAAATGAGAAATACTGAATCGTCTGTGAAAAACTGTTTCTTTTTTATTTTGTTTGCTTATTTTTTTTAATACATCGTTCTAGATTTATTATAGTATTTGAATAGAACATGTGCCAATGATTAGGTAATTCTTCAAATGATATAAATTTATATGCATTCTGAGTTATAATATCGGCGAAATGTAAAGCTGTTAAGTGAACCTAGCGCCAGAGTGTCGCTATGGTAAACAAATAAAGTGAATTTTAAAGAGTGCATTTATTCTACTATGGTTTATGCGGTATCGATGATCCAGATTTAATTCAATCCAATAAGTTTAAATGAAATGCAAGAAAAAATGCGTATAATTTAATATTTCTGTGCAAGGAAGTCATGTGGTGTACACATCAGATTTGTTCTTTACGAAGTAAAGGAAGTATTGTAATCACCAAAAATTCCAGGTATACTATATTTCAAAGACAATATATATTTTGACCGCTATCGAATGCAATTTACCGAATTTTTTGTGTGACATCTGTACCTAAGAATAGAACAAAGGAATCTTCCCCCCCCCCCCCAAAAAAAAATTGTAAAACTGATTTAAAATGGATTCAGAAGAGATTTCTGCGTGGCGTCTGTACGTGTTTAAGTATGTACGTGCCAATGTATCTCGCATAACTCAAAAACGTGTCCCCTCAGAACGTTGAAATTTCGTATGTAGGACAGTTATAAGATGCAGTTGTGCACCTCCCTTTGTGGTAGCAATCGGCCGCCCCCAAAAGTAAATATATATATATGTACATATACCCACTCTGTTACACGGCTCCGTGAGCTCAGTTTTTTATTCTTATATGTTGGTAAATTGTGCATTTTTACTTCCTTGTACGAAGTAAAAAGGAAGTATTGTAATCGCGAAAAGTTTCAGGCAGCATATTTCAACGAAAATATCCATTTTGACCGCTATCGAATGCAATTTAACGATGTTTTTGCGTGATATCTGTATGTAAGGACAAAATAAAAGACTCTTTTCCTCCAAAAAATTATAAAACTGCTTTAAAAGGAATTCTGAAGAGAATTTTTTGTGGCGTCTGTACGAACGTATATATGTACGTGCGTACGTACGTATCTCGCATAACTCAAAAACGAGTAGCCTCAGAACGTTGAAATTTTGTATATAGGAACTAGCTATAACATGTAGATGTGCACCTCGTATTTTGGTTGCAATCCGCCGCACCAAACGTGGCCGGATATAAATATATTATAATATATATCCACTCTGTTACCCGGCTCAGTGATCTCAGTTTCTTTACTCTTATATGTTTGTAAATTGTACGTTTTTTGCTTTAAAAATGATTGAATTATGTTGTTCTTATCTTCCGTTTAATGTTTTTATGCCTTTCGTAATTCTGGAAGCAATATTTGTACAATTATCAACAATTTAAAAGCTGTTTAAGTGCGGTTAAGTTTTAAATAACATGGCGGACATATTTGTTTACATTTGAAACAGCAGAATTGTAGATTTGTTGCCATCTAGAGAGACTAAGCTTCGCAACACAAAAACTAACGCCTTCATTTATTATTGCGAATTAAATCATGCTTAATCCTTTCTGGAATTTTTTCGAGGAAATAAGTGTTTAAGATTTAGTTCGTAATTTTTAATGCAGATATTTTGAGTTTTTATGTATTTTTGCATTGTCGCGAAGTGAGAACTGAAAAAATTGAATGAGAAATACTAAATCGTCTGTGAAAAAATGTTTCTTTTCTGTTTTGTTTGCTTAATTTCTTTCATACATCGGTTTAGCTTTATTATAGTATTTGAATAGAACATGTGGCAACGATAATTCCAAATGATATAAATTTTGTGCATTCAGAGTGTCGTTATAGTAAACAAATATAGTGAATTTTAAAGAGTGCATTTATTCTATTGTGGTTTATGCGCTGCCGACGAAGTAGATTTAATTCAATCCAATCAATTTAAATGAAATTCAAGAAAAAAATGCGTATAATTTAATATTCCGTACAAGAAGTCATGTGGTGTACACATCAGATTTTTTGCTTTAAAAATGATTGAATTATGTTGTTCTTATCTTCCGGTTAATGTTTTTATGCCTTTAGTTAATCTGCACACAATATTTGTAGAATTATCAACAATTTAAAAGTTGTTTAACTGCGGCTAAGCCTAATTTTTTACAATAGCGGCCATATTTGTTTATATTTGAAACTTAAACATACAGCTCGTATAGTGACAGCTCATACTTTAAACAGTGTTTTCAGGTAATTTTTCTCACGAAAGTTAGATTGCATTTGGACGGATGTCAGCGGTAGAATGTTTCTTAGACTAGTTGTTGTTTTACTTTGTAGTGTCACTAGATGGCAGCACCACTAAAACACAGGTCTGCGCATTGCTTATGCTTCTATTAAAAACGTAGGCATAAACTTATACGGTATATGCAAACCGGACTGATAAATTCCATACTGTCAGCGAACATACAGGTTAAGAGATACTCTTGGATTAAATTATATCAAACTATTGGGAAGTTAGCTAGAGGAAGAATGCTTTGGTATTTATTTTGAAATGCATTTTAGAAATATGAGACTGTTTGTATTGTTTATCAAAGTGCTATGATTTTATACTGCATTTATTGTCATTAGGTGACAACATTAAAACACGGATCTTAGCACATTTACGTTTAAAATGACAGAATATCGTGCAACCTAGTGCATTTTTACCGCTTTATATCAACATATATTTTTCGTTTGATTAAAACGTTTTCCTTGCTTACTTTCTTCAATTTTGTAATGCGTATGATTCCAATTAGCTTTATTCAATACCCAAATATCTAATGCAGACACCGCATGACTTCCTTGTACCGGCCATTAAAATATGCATACTTTTTGTTGCACTTCATTTAAATTTTTTTCCTTGAATTTTATTAAAGATATATTTCTCATTCAATCAATTCAGTTCTCACTTCGCGGCAAAGCAAAAATGTGAAAAAAGTCAAAACATCTTCATTAAAAATTGTGAAGTACAGAAAAACTTAAAATACCAAATACAGTTAAGAAAACAATTTTTACAATTAAAATTTAAATTTCTAAGCAAAAACAGGTAAGATAAGAAAATTTTCAGACCAAACTGAAAATTGAATTTTGATACCACTGGGAAAAAAGTCACTGAAATTGATGTAGCAATTGACTTAATTCACTATTCTACTGAGAGTCACAAATGTAAATAATGGTGGCTTCGTTAGTCCTAGCACCACTTAAACTTTTAAATTATTGATATTTCTACAACTATTGCATGCAGTTTAACTGAAGGTATAAAAATACTCAACCAGAACATAAGAACAACATAATTAAGTCATTTTTAAAGCAAAAAACGCACAATTTACCAACATATAAGAATAAAAAAGGGAGCTCACTGAGCCGGGTAACAGAGGGGGACTATACATATATATCTGTATATATTTACATACGTTAAGTGCGGCCGACTTCAAAGAAAAGGGATGTGCACAGTTAGATGTTATAGCAGTCCCATGTACAATACATAAAATTCCAATTGTTCTACGGCTACTCCTTTTTGAGTTATACGAGATACACGAAAAAAATGTCTTCTGAATTCATTTAAAATCCATTTGACAATTCGTTTCGGAAAAGAGAGCCCTTTATTCTGGCCGTACGTATAGTTGTATAGATATTTTCGTTGAAATATGATACCTGGAAATTTTCGGGATTACAATACTTCCTGCTTCGTACATGGGAGCAAAAAATATACTAGGGTTTAATATGAGTTTATATGATGATCAATATTTGGAATATGTTCTAAACCGTCGGTAATAACTAACACTGATTTTAAAAATCATTAAAATGTCTGTGACTGAAGCCTAAGGAGCCAACAAATATCAAACGTGTTTCAACTGCGATTCCTTTTCGAGGAAGAAAATTCAGAGTTAACGCTTCAAAAATGCTGCAGACACAGGATTTTAAATTTTCACATAACTCCAAAAGAAGAAATGCAGTCAGATAAACTACGAGATTTGGGGGAAATTAAACAATGGTTTCATTTGATCCATCATCCTGGAAAATGAATATTAAACATACTATAACATTATAAGTTATTTTGGTGTTTCATAGTTCAGAAAGATGCGATTCTTCTATAGTTCAATTTAAGGCAGCAAAAGATGCTCTAGTATTTCTAAATACACCACGCTATTGATAATAGCAGAAAATCCCACCATTAATTTTCGTCATGTAAGTTTTAGTACTTCTGTTTGATGAAAATACTGTTACATTAACATATATAGTATATAGAAAATGTTATGTATTTTGTGATTCGTTATTATTAAACATAAATGCGTGCTTTCAAATTTTCAAACTTACCGTATCAGGGGCAGAAATATTGAATAATTCCGGAACCGTTAGATGAACCGAGGTAAATGGCTTCCAGGCAGGAACAGGAGGTATTAAATTAAGAGTGCAATACTGGCCTTGCATCTTAAACTTGGTTTCATTCACCTTGAGCTTGACGCATTCCTCATAATTTCCTAACGAAGTCACAGTTCCCGACAAGAAGCCTTCTGGGAAGCGACCAGAAGAATCCAGCACTGCAGAAAAAAAAAGCAAAGAATGAGCATAAATAATAGAAATATAGCAAAGGTATGTTCGATTGCCGTAGAAGCGTAGACAACTTAGTAAGTTTAGTTAGACAACTTAGTAAGTTAACTTAGTTAGTAGGTAAATTAAATGCTATGAACTGAAAATAATTTCCTTTAAATTTAAGCCAAAAGTTTCCGTTGAATCACAATAAACGGTGTATCATTTTTCGGATCGTTGCCACCAAATCTTATCGCTCTGTATTATATTTAAAAAATTAAATAATGAATAATCTGCATCAATTTATGCGTGTTTCTCGCATTAGGGATAAACAGCGGTACCTAGAGCCATCCAGTATAGAATAATGTAGGTCTCCACTCGACCATGGACACCTGGAAGTTTGAATTTATGTAAAACGTTAACGAATTTTTGATTAAACAAACTTTAAGATTTTAAAGCAAGCAGGTGGCGACACTGTACGGAATGAAACATTTTTATCTCCAGCGCGTGTAACTGTCTATCGGGAATTCTAAAGATATGCTGTTTTTAAACATTTTGTGATTTTGCTGTTGAATTTAATTTTAAATGTTTCCAATAACACAATATGTTAACAATAAAAACGCAAGAAAACATTTTTTGAAATCATCTTAGAAAGGAAACGGAACATTGATACGATGAACTGAGAAAGGACAGAATTTATTGAATACTTAACGTTTCATCGGGAATTCTAAGCGTATGCTTCTGTGCTGCTTTTAAATTTTTTTATGATTCTGCTGTTGAATTGTACAAAGCGAACGAAAATGATGCGTTAAAGTTAAAAAGACAAATCAAGAACAGGTTAGCAGAAGTGAATGTAGCAGCAGACTGTGAGCTCAGCGAGAGAGTGAAAAACCGTAAGAAACTCTTTCGGGAGACCGTTAAAATCTGAAATCTTTCAGGTTTTTCTTTCTTTCTTTCTTTTCCCTTTAAAAAAAAAAAAAAAAAAAAAAAATTACGGTAGATTTGATTGAAAATGGTAAATGTTTAGAGAAATACTTTACATTCAGGGTCTAAGATTGCTTTTTTTTTTTTCAATTCAGTTAGTCTTAATTTTTTATTTCAAATATTAAAAAATGTTTTTTCGCAAATTGAGCGATAAATGCTTAGAAAGATACTCGGCTAAACTTTGGAATATGGTTACAGGTAGTTTGGCGACATTTTGGTAAGGCGATAAAGGTTACTAGCTAGGACTTTAGCAGTGTACATGCTTAAAGTCAAGAGTGTGCGCAATGCCATTTTTGTGCAATTCTGGGATGTTTTTTTAAGTGAAAACAGGTCGACGTGGATATGGATACCGTGTGTGTGCAATTCTTAAAAACGCGGCAAGCAGTGGGCGATTCTGCACTTTCTCCCAATTTCGCACCTAATCTTCGTCATGATTAAGCACTTTTGTTCCATAAAAGTTCTAGCATAACCGTAATTCGACTAGCAGATTGTTGAAAAAAAAAAAAAAAAAAAAATATTGAGGGGGGGGCAAAGCATGCTTTTACTTCGTGAAAACAAAATGGCATCCAAAAAAAAAAAAAAAAAAAAAAAAAACTAGCAGTTTGCTGTAGCAGGGTTGGTCGCCAAATTTTCGCCAAAAAATCGCCAAGTTTCCATAATTCGAAGATTAACCAGATATTCTTCAAATATGTAGTAGGAAATCTGCAAGTAGAAATGCGTTTTTTCTTTGACTTCAAAATCATTCTCCTTTCTACGTATTATAACAGGGTCAAAATAGGCGAGGAAGAAGATTTGAGCCTTAAAGAGAAAACAGTAAGTTCTTAACATGCAGTTTTTAAACTGTGGCACCAGTTCCAGCTGCCGTGTACGTTTGAAACCCTACAGTCTTTCCTCTACAACTCAAACTTTGTTCTTTCCAATTGCTCTGAGTCTGGGACCCATGGAATATACGTGGATAGAGGGACGATTTTGGAGTGAAGGCAAAGAAGCAGTGCATTCCTTGCTGCAGGACCAGATAAAATGACTTCTCTCTGACGGAATTTAGAAACTAGCGCTATGGTGTGAGGAGAATATTAAAAAGGACTGTGATTTTTGTAAAAAAATGACACGTAATTTGTATTTGTCTGCGAAATGTCTACGCCAAATTTTTCAGTTTGTTGATACTTTTTGAAACATCCTCATAAATGATACGTATGTAGAGACATTAGGTATTTTTTGAAAGCAGGAGAGATGAAAAATGAGCAATGCCCTCGCCGAGAGTCGAACCGCGGACCTCTCGAATACGCGTCAAGCGTGCGGACCACTACACCACGAAGACATTTTAAGAAGGCGGGAGAAATACCTTATACGTATATTCTTACTCTTTAGCCTAGTCTCGAAATTGCACTGATGTGCCATTACATGTGTCTGTTAGAAACATTGAAAAAAAAAAAAAATTAGTCGTACGAGGTTTTCCGTTCCGTCCCCTCAGGCTACTTGGAACTATTTCTGATGAGAATGGTTCGCTAGCTAGGATGAAGTGATTTACGAGTTGAGCAATTTTTTACTTTAGAAGCTCGGCTATTATGGCATTTTTGCATTGGAAACGCTGTTGGGCATAGTATAGTGCCCTAAATTTTACAGAGTTATTTTTATATTTTGGACTTATTTTTTGTATAAAATTTCATATGAAACTGATTATTTTACGTTTGAATTTTGTTTCGTATAATACCTTGTTTGTTAAGTGACAACACTTATTTCGTTCTATCATAATTGTACCATTTTAACAGCTTGTATTAATTTTCGATCCAGTGGAGAAGAACAATGCAGAGCACTTCACGAAGAATGTAAAAATTTCTTAAATAATTGTTCTAAGATTTCTGATTTCGTAATATGCTAAGATTCATTTCAGGTGCATTAGAGCATTGATTTTCCGATGTGACTGGAATTCAGATAAAATGGAGACTAAATTTTAAATCATGTTAATGCTTTTTGAATCTGTTTACTTGAAACTTAAGAAACAAATGCATAAGTACAGTTATTAATATTTTAACAAATTCTTTCATTACTAGATAAAATTTCCCATCCGTTGACAAGTAATTTATAACAAATTTTGTTTCGTAACCAAAAGATTCGTAAAAAAAAAACTTGAATAAAAAAACCATGATGTCGCATTTTGGGCTTTTCCAGTTCAGGTTTTCTAGAGGTAAGCAAAAATCGATATTTCATACTTCCTCCCCCCCCCGCATTCTGCAGGTGTTGTGATGTTGGAGTGTAGAGTCATTAGGACTTTTCAAAGCAAGATTAAGTAAGTAAGATAAGGGCTTCCTTGCTTCGCGATACTGAACCGCACTACAAGTTCCTTCGCCCCTTAGAACCAAGCACAGAGGTTCAACCTCCGCCTTCGCACCTTGGAGAGGAGGGCGCATCGCCTAGGTCGACAATGGTCGTCAGAATTGCTACCTGCCAATCGCTCGGGCTGCCCGTCGCAGTGGGACATTACCCAGCGCACTCGAGGGCGCTACCCTCCGAGCTACTAGAGACCGCTCTAGGACTCGCCAGATCACAGGGCCGGCTAATAAGTGACCTTTCCGTGACTTCCAGAACCACCAGGTTCATAAATTTTATACCCCCGTGGCCAAGACTGCCTAGGTACAGAGCCTAGCCAGTAGCTTCGCAGAGTTTTCTACGTCGACCCCAGGGAGGGAAGCAAGAGTATATGAAAAATGAACAATGCCGGCTCCGGGACTCGAACTTGGATCTCACGAATACGCTCTGACTTTGCTACCGTTACACCATGAAGGCATATAGGAAGGAGAGAGAAAACATCTTATATGCTGTTCTTTCTAAAGGGCGACTATTAGAGGTCCCAATCGCCAACTCCTGGTGGTGACAAATTGTTGTCCACCATCTTTTAGTTTGGACGCCACTGTAAAATCATTAGGATTTTTGAAGCATGAGTGCATGAAAAATGATCGGTGCCCTCTTCGGGACTTGAACCTGGACCTCTCGAATAGACGTCGCTACCGTTATACCACGAAGGCATGCTGGAAGGAGGGAAAAAACACCTTATAGGAGGAGGGTTACTATAAGATAAAATTCGTGTATTTTATGGTACTCCGGAATAAATTGTGAGGGAAACAAGGAGAACCGAACAAAGGTTTCTCTTAAAGTGAAATAACGAACAAATATTTCAGCCGGAAAAGAAGACTCATCTTTTGTTTTAATACCATGCAAAAAATTCCTTTTCCTATATATGGCTTAATCGTCTTTACGATAGAAGTCATAGTTTTAAAAATTTGTAAAATAATTAATTAATTTTATTAAAAACTGTAATAGCAGTCTTGACGAATATCATGGTTGTTTGGAGAACTGCATTATTAATACAGATTTAATGGTAGCCAAATCCTGGAGAAAAAGTTTTCATATTTCGCTTTCAGTGTTTCACTTTTCAAGATGTAGAATATTTTAGCTTTGATTATCATTAGAAATTAACATGCTCCTGTTTCAAGATATTAATAATACCGAATTGTAATTAAACTTTAGAAACATCTTGTTTGATGTTTTAGGTGTAATCAATTACCAGTGTGTGATTAGCGGTTTATCTAAGCAGTACCTAAAATAAATTTAGAGGCTGAAACGTCACTGGGACATTATACATATTTCACAGTCACGGGACCTTCTATCGCGCTCTCGGATTTTTCGTTGGGCCTGAAGTTTCGTTGCGCTAAAATCACCTTCCAGCATGATTTCGTGATTCGTGAGTAACGGTAGCACACGCGGCGCGTATTCGAAAGATCCAGGTTCGAGTCCCGGCAAGGGTATTGCACTCTCCACGTCTTCTGTTTCAAAAAACTAGGAATTTATGTGAAATTTCTATGCATTTTTATAAGACAATTTTTGTTTAAAAAAGTATGCAAAGCATTTTTTTTTGTAACAGTCCTATAAGTCTAACAACCATATCACTATGATCTCAGTTTTTTATCAATAAAAGAAAGATCTGTGGAAGAGGTAAATATAAAGAGCTTTCTCAACACTTCAGCGTCTA